TTACTAAACTACAAAACTAGATAAAGTTAGTCTATGTACCAAACGGTTGGAAACATACATTTAGCAGCTGGTAGAAAAACAAAAGAGTTGCTGAAAAAGTAACTCCCTTACCCAATACACAAGATCAGTTAGAGAGCACACATTCTAGAAAAGTCTAAATGTAATGTAAATGGTCTTATTTCTTTTTTTAATCCATGGCTTTCATGGTATACCCAAAGAATCTGAGCTTGGTTTTGGTGTTCTCTCTCTCCACTTCTTTGTTTCATCTTTTTTGAAGTCTTTTTCCTAGGAGCCTCTCCTTGTTTTCAAGGGTCATGTTTCCAGCCATGTTTTTCAGTTGGATACTGATACTCAACAACACAGTACTGACACACAGGCCCTAAAACACTTGTGAAATGAGTTTTAGAACCTGAACAAGGATGACTGTGATGTCTGGAAAATAATGCAAGTCCAAGAATCAGGAAAGTAACTGAATAAGATTATAGTTGGCTTTTGATGACTACTCTATATATGCCCCAAACTGAAAAATTTCAAAAGATAATCTCATTTTAATTTTATTCAATCATCACAACATCAGGCATCATTATCCTATTTATAGGTGAGTAAACTGAGGCTTTGAGAAATTAAGTGATATGTCCATGGTCACATAGCTAGTAAGTATACATTTACTGGAATTAATTAACATGTCTTTTTTTTTTTTTATCCTCACCCGAGGACATTTTTCCATTTTTTGTACAGACAGAGTGGGAGGGAGAGAGAGGAAGAGAGAGAGAGTGAGAAACATCGATGTGAAAGGAACACATCGAGTGGCTGCCACCCGCACGACCAACCAGGGCCGGGGACAAACTACAACCAAGGTACATGCCCTTAGCGGGAACCGAACCCGGGTCTCTCCAGACCGCAGGCGGGCGCTCTAACCGACCAGGGCTTAACATGTCTTTTTAATGACAAAAATTAATGGTTTTTTAACCTTTATAATCTTGTCTTCCATTGTTTTATCTATTAAATATAGAAATATTAATAGTCATTAAGATCTCTTTTAACTTTAAGATGTTTCAGATATAAAGTGACACGCATCTCAGAAAATTTGCAATTAAATTAGTTTTGCTTATTTATTGAAATCCTGCAAGAGACAAATATAATGCTCTTGAAAGCTGAAAATTTAGGAACTCTGAAAGAAAAGAGGCGAGGAACTTTTGGAAAGGTTGAGCCCTTCTAGGATTTTTCAGATCCACCTAAAACTAGATTTAGCCTTGTCTTTTTACATCAGTTAATATTTACTGATAACTTACTATGTTCCAGACACTGTGTCAGAAGTTTATATACATATTAGCTCATGTATCTCAAAAAACCCTATGAGATATTACTATTATTATTCCTAATTAACAGATGAGGAAACAAAGTTTAAATTGCTCAAGGTCACACAGCAAGTATTTGATGAAGCTTGGATTCAAATCCAGATATGTTTGACTCTGAAGTCCATAATTTTAACTTTAAGATTATTATACTGCTTTTGTATGCTACTTTTAGCCTATTTATCTATGTATATTTAATGTAAATTATATCAATGCCATTTATTTCTTTGGAATAAAGCCCATCGGATATAGATCGGAAATCTGCTTAGTTTTTCAGCACATATCTCAGTGCTATATATATGATAACACTTATCAAGTATCTCATGATGCATGACTTATTGGTGCAATTAAATACCTTATTGGTGCAATTAAATACTTCTCAGTCACATATCTATGAGTTACAAATTCTGCTTTCTTCTCCCTCTAGGTGTTTCTTTTTGTCCAAAGTGGATAAATTAACAAACATCAAAGAAAATAGGCAATCTCTGATCTGAAAAAAAAACCTCCATAGAAAAGAACATATTGCCTAGGATGATGGACTTAACTGAAATTCTACCTTACTAAACATGTTCTCACAGTTCATTTTGAACTTATTAAAAGGGTTTATTGACACTCTCAAAAGATAGTTTCCAAGACCCTGATAGCAAATTAAGTTTGGTATTAATAGAAATTCAAGTTAGATGTTATTCTCTACATTAGGACAACTTTATTTTCATTTCAACTCTGACTTATATTGTACACTATTATTAACCTACTTGAATGTATGAAGCTAAAATTCACATACATTTCCCTTCTCTATCTTCAGAAACAAATGGCCTCCAAATTAAGCGACATAGGAAGTGTGGGGATGTTAAAAAAAAAGGCCCATTTAGATTCTGTAACTTTTTAGGGGGAGGAGGGTACTTTAGAGACTTTAATTATTTATCAAATAAGTAGTAGTTCATTTTTATTTTAGCCAAGTACACATTTTATAAAATAGCATTAATAAGGTGTGGCATTTTTCTCTAACCAAATACCTCACAATAAAATCCACTTGTAATACTCATTTAGAAATTGGATAATGTTCTCTTGTGTGAGTTTTAGGAATATTTGAAACTCCACTGCATATAAATTATATTGTGAAAAAGCTGTATAAATATTCCATAATTGGACATTCTGTTCTAAAGATCTGTCAGGATTTCCTTTACACATTTCACTTTTAGTGGTATATAAATCAGATGTAAAAATTCATGTTGGACTAAAACTCAGAGCAAAAGGTCTCTTCCTGGTATTTTTTTTATTTCAAAATGTGGCTTGAAATTTTAAGTTACAGAAGTGCAGAAAATGTATTTGCGGTTTTTTTGGTTGCTTTTTTATCCTCACCCGGGGACATTTTTCCATTTTTTGTTCAGATAGAGTGGGAGGGAGAGAGAGGAAGAGAGGGAGAGAGAAACATCGATGTGAAAGAGACATATCAAGTGGCCGCCACCCACACGACCAACCAGGGCCGGGGACAAACTGCAACCGAGGTACGCGCCCTTATCGGGAACCGAACCTGGGTCTCTCTGGACTGCAGGCCGACGCTCTAACCGCTGAGCCAAACTGGCCAGGGCTAGTTTTCATGTTTTTCCCCAAAGCAATATTAAAAGTTGAACGGTATCCTCTATGAATCCAATGATACCTGTTCTGAATACAAATCTGTGTATGGATATGTATACAGGGTGTGGCAAAAGTAGGCCTACAGCTGTGAGTACATGAAGCAGAATTCACTCTTGTATTATTTATTAATTATTTTGCATACAAACAACTGTAAACTTAATTTTCTTCCACCCTGTATATAGTTATATATATATCTTAGACTAGCAGTTCCAATAATATGATGATTGGGATAGATGACGACTATCAGTTGCCCATTTTGTTCTTGATAACAAATTAAAGTTTGGTTTATCAAAGGAATTCCCTATCTATACCATAGTTTGGCATGTATTGCTTGTAATTTTAAAACTGAATCTTTAATTTGCAGAAAAATTCTGGGTCAAACATTTCTTCTTTTATGACCTCTTTGATAATAAGACTGTGCCATTTCTAAATTTTGTTTTCCTCTAACATAAAGAGCAAGTTGCAGCATGTTTAATAGGTATCATGGTAATGATCACATTTGGGAAATATTTAATACATATATATTTATGTATAAAATTTAGTTTGTTAAATAGTATTAAAGTTATTTTGTCTGTATAACTAACGTCAAATAATTTAATAAATGTCTAAATTATTATTTTAGCACATGTAGAGATATGATTATATTTTTCTCTTAATAAAATTGGTTAAAATCTGAGAAAGTTTTCTTTAGACTAAGAAAGTTGGGATAATTAACAAAGTTGTAGTAAGCTAATCTTTCCAATGACTTTTAAAGATAATGAAAATAGAAATAATTGCTTCCAGGTATTTTATATTTAGTGTATCGATGCATTAAAATTACACATTTAGATCAAAATATTAAAGTATAAAGAGGCTAAAAATTTCCCATATCATATCCTAGGTCTTTATTAAATTTTGCTTAGAATCTGAGTGTCTTGATCCTTAATGAAGTTCCCTTTTTATCATATTATACTATGCCTGGTGCAGTTACAAGAATATTTGGATCTAATGACAGTATGCACAACCTAGAGGATGATCAAACATTTGCCTGTGGCTGGTGGAGCACTGTGGAATTTCTTATTGGGACACTCTGCGAAGAGAAGAAATTTATCTCTTCCTGGATGTTTCCTCTACTAACCTAGTGTCATGGAAATTAGCCAACTCTAAAATAAAGATCTGAATGCCAGTTTCCTTCCTTCCTTCCTTCCTTCCTTCCTTCCTTCCTTCCTTCCTTCCTTCCTTCCTTCCTTCCTTCCTTCCTTCCCCTCTCTCTCTCTTTCTCTCTTTCTTTCCTTTCTTTTTCTTCTTTCTTTTTTCATATTAACAGCAGAGCAAGGGTACTAACGAAGGGTCATATTCAAAATCTCTAATCTTTAAAACAATATTTTTATTTCTAATTGGGTGTTTTTAAAATTTTTATTCTCATCCATTTACTCTGTGTTCCATGTTACATTTGGTTATAATTATAATGTTTTAAGTATAATTTATACATTACTCATATACCTATGTCTTGCTCTTAATTTATCATTAAAGTCATAGCTTTAATGATTTAACTTAATATGTATCACTCCAAAACAAATTATTTCAGCTTTTAGGGGAAGTCTAAAGGTTTCTGAGTACTAGGTACATTGAAGCACAGTTTTATGTTGATCAGAAATGACTTGAAGTACAACAAAGACATTTAAAAACTGCTGAAAATAAATATATTTTAAATGACAAAATAGTTTTACATGTTAAGAATCTAGATTCCATAGTTTCAACTTAAGCAATTTATATCTCATTAGGCAAGCAATATACACATTGCACCCCCCTCCACCTATAACATTATACTATATTTTTTCTTATTTTTGGAGAACAGATAACACAGTGTTATTATTTAAACAGCATTGACCTTGTTAAGGCCTAGCAGCATTGTTTTATATATAACAAGCAGTATATTTTTAAACAGAACAGCTATCTCTTAACAACACATGGAATAATGACAAAAACTTTATGTTAAAGAGTAAAGAATGTAAGATATATTCTCACCTTGATTTTACCTTTAAGCAGCCTTTTATTTGTCTGTTAGGAACTTCTTCCCAAAGTTTCACAGGCTTCAACTCTTGTTCTTTCTTTTGACAAATCAATACATAATTTGTGCCATTATTATTTGACCAAAATGTACCAACAGAAGTTTCATAACGTATACAAAACTCGACTCTACTGCCATCTTTTTGGTAAGGAGGAACCAATGAAATCTTAAAGGAGAACTTGTCAGTTTCACCATCACATGAATTTGGGACATATTCTGCTAAAATGTCAAAATGTGTCTTCCAGTCATCTAAGGACATTCTCACGTATACTAACTTTTCAAAAGAAATATTTAAAACTCGAATAATGCCCTTTATACTTGTAGACTCAGGAAGATACTCAGCTGACTCCAATATTGCTTTCTGTACTTGAAGTTGTTGCATAAGATCTTTTGAAGAAGGCAAGTCAAATAGTAGAGATAACACATATTCTTCTGGGTGGAAAATATCCTTTCTTAAGTTGAAATTGGTTAAAACACTTGGTAGATCCCAGCAATCAAATTCTTTGACAGATACAAGATTGAATCCAAAGGTGTCAGCAAATGAAACTCTTCTTGTACCTGAAGATGGAGTATCCAGATACATGTCTTCAGAAGAATCAGAACCTCGTCTCCTAGGTTGAGGGGAAAAACCAGGTTTGAAGGTAGCTTTAACTTCTTCATCTTCAGAAAGAGAATCAGATAAATTAGGAACTTCTAAAAAGTTATCTTTGTTAGTCTGACTAGGTCCTCCAGAAGGCTCCATTGGACTCTCTGATATCAAATAAGAGAGAACTGTATACTAGTAAGGTTGATATTTGAGATACAGAGGATATAATAAGTATAACATTACAGTTGACATTATAAGAAGAAGTCAGCTCTATAAATAAGTTTGTTGGAATGTAAACTATGCCAGCTTGCCTCCAAAGGCATTTAATATAACATCCATGTTACTCTCACCAGTGTGTTTTAAATTTGACTCAGTTTTTAAAGTTGCATGTTGTTTATCAGCTGAATTCCAAAGAGACACTTGGCTGTACTAGAAAACCTGAAACTTAAGGATAAAAATATCATTTTATCCAGTTGTTATTAAAAATAATATCTTGGCCTGTTTCTTTTAAAATAAAATAAATGCAGTATCACAATGCTACATATGTAGTTTGAGCTAAACAAATCCCTTGAAGCAGGTAAGCACAATAAGAGAGAATAAGAACATTTATGGAACAGAAAATACCCAGTGTCTAATAATAATAATAGTAGCTACCATTTATAAGGGACTTATAATGTGAAATGTGAACTATAAGACAGTTAAATATAAGTGTTGGAAGTTCTGAGGAAGAAAACAGGGAGAAGGTATTATTTAAAATAAACCATGAGAGCTGGCTGGTGTTCTCAGTGGTTAGAGCATTGGCCTGAGCACCAAAAGATCATGGGTTTGATTCCTGGTCAAGTGCACATACCTGGTTGCAGGTTTGATCCCTGTCCCAGTTGGGGTACATGCAGGAGGCAACCAATTGATATGTCTCTCTCACATTGTTTCTCTCTCTCTCTCTCTCTCTCTCTCTCTCTCTCCCTCTCCCTCTCTCTTACTCTACCCTTTTCCCCAGCCCTTCCATTCTTTCTAAAAGTCAATAAAAAATTATCCTGGGATAAGGATTAACAAAAAAATAAATATTAGAAAATAAACCTTTAGGAGCAGGTATGACATCAACATGCAGGATTGAAGTGAGGTGGATTTTCCAAGCGTAAGAAGTAGCATGACTCAATGTCTAGAACAAATAATTACCCACATATATTATTTTAAACATTAGTAATTTTTAAAAAAATTGTCATGAAGAAATGTATACAAGTAATGTGTGTTATTGACTTGAAAATATAAGTGAGCAATGGTAAGCTTTGCCCAGAAATAAAATGTCTATGTAGACTAAAATGTTCATCTTTGAAAAATTTTTATATTATGCCCACAAAATAGAAGTTATTCACACCTTGGAGTTCAATGTGAGTTTTAAAGTATGAATAGCTTGTTTAGAGTCTCATTTTTTGTGTGTTAATTTAAAACCTACTTTGGGGGAGGACCGAAAAATGGCGGTGGAGTGAACGGAGCTACACAGACCGTCTCCCAGAACCAAACTGGAATTACAACTATAACACAGACAAATCGACGGGAAAAACCAACAGAAAAGCAGCTTGCGAGGACCATACAACGAGGGACACCAACTCGATCCCGGTAGGCTTGCGAAGGCGCGAGAAGGGGCTGGGAGCCCACGGTCGGCAGCTTGGCAGCGGCCTCAGCTGGGAGCAGTGCCCGCGGGTTACACTCCCAGGCGGCTCCACAGCGCAGCCGGGAAAGAGGCTGAAACAGCCACAGCCACTCACCTTGGGCTCCGGCAGAGGGAGGGCAGACTGGACTGGAGCTGTGTCGGGACACTCGGGGTTTGGAGGGCGCTCAGAGCTTTGGCTGAGTGCAGCCACACAGGACGGTGGCCATATTGCTCCTTCCCAGGGCTCTGAGGAGAGGCAGCAGCCCCTCCCTCGGAGATCCAACCCCACCCTGTGGGCCATTGAAGTGCTAATTGAGGATCACTAACAACCAGCATCTGCCCCACCCTCGTGAAAGCCCCTTGGCTGAGCACCAGAGGGAGTTTTTCAATCAACTGACAACCCAAAACTCATCAAGTAACCTAGACTGCTAGCCTCCAGGCAAAAAGCTAGAGGATAACAGTACCTTTCCTGGGCTGGCAACTTTAATCAGGAAAGTAAGACTTGACAGTGGTGTTCAACGTGGGTCCTCCCTCGCTCATCTAAACACAGGAGAGGGAGCCATAAACAACAGAACACCAACACCCACAGGGAAAACTTGACAGGCTCCAAAGCCCACAGTGATAGCCAAAATGGTGAAACACAGAAACAGAAGCCAAATGAAAGAGGAAGAGACCTCCACCGAACATGAGATCAATGTAGAGCAATTAGGCATGTTAACAGAGCTAGAATTCAGAGCCATGATCTTGAGGAAGCTGAACAGCATGAGTAAGGACATAGAGACACTGAAAATGAGCCAATTGGAAATTAAAAACCAACAAGAAGAGATAAAAAACGACATATCAGAAATGAAAAACACATTGGAAGGTTTAAAAAGCAGAGTAGGGGAAGCTGAGGACCGGATCAGTGAATTAGAAGACAGGGTAGAAAATATCAACCAATCAGAAAAACAAAAGGAATAAACTATTAAAAAACAGGAAGACAGCTTAAGAGAACTATGGGACAACTGGAAACGCAATAATATTCGCATCATAGGAGTCCCCGAAGAAGAAGAAAATGAGCAAGGGATAGAGAATATATTCAAAAAAATAGTGAGAGAAAACTTCTCTAATTTGGTGAAGGAAGAAGGCATTCAAGTTCAAGAAGCACAGAGAGTCCCAAGTAAGAAGAACCCAAACAGGCCCACACCAAGACACATAGTAAATAAAATGCCACAAATTAAAGACAAAGAGAGAATCCTAAAAGCAGCAAGAGATAAGCAACAGGTTACCTACAAAGGGAACCCCATAAGGCTCTCAGCTGACTTCTCACAAGAAACACTACAGGGCAGAAGAGAATGGCATGAAGTAATCAAAGTCATGAAAAACAAGAATCTGAATACAAGACTACTCTACCCAGCAAGGCTATCATTCAAAATAGAAGATCAAATAAAGAGTTTCCCAGAAAAAAAAAGGCTAAGGGAATACATTAGCACGAAACCAGCACTGCAAGAAATGTTAAAAGGACTGCTGTAATTAGCAGTAGAAATGGGAAGAAAAATAGAACCACACTAAAAAAAAATGGCAATAAATAAGTACATATCAATAATCACCTTAAACGTTAATGGATTGAATGCTCCCATAAAGAGACACAGAGTAGCTGATTGGATAAGAAAGCATGACCCATCTATATGTTATTTAAAAGAGACCCACCTCTCAACAAAAGACTCACATAGGTTGAAAGTGAAGGGATGGAAAAAAATTTTCCAAGCAAATGGAAAGCAAAAAAAAGCTGGGGTAGCAATTCTCATATCTGATAAAATAGATTTCAAATTGAAGACCATAACTAGAGACAAAGACGGCCACTACATAATATTGAAAGGGTCTATCTAACAGGAAGATATAACCTTGATAAACATATATGCACCCAATATAGGAGCACCAAAATATATTAAAAATATTCTGGAGGACTTCCAAGGAGAAATCGACAATACAATCATAGCAGGGGACTTCAACACCCCGTTGACAGCACTGGATAGGTCCTCTAGGCAAAAAATTAGCAAGGAAACAGAGACTCTAAATGAAGCACTAGACCAAATGGATTTAATAGATATCTACAGAGAATTACACCCCAAAACTACAGAATACACATTCTTCTCAAGTGCACATGGGACATTCTCAAAGATAGACCACATGATAGGACACAAACTAAATCTCTACAAGTTCAAGAAGATTGAAATCATATCAAGCATCTTCTCAGATCACAATGGCATGAAACTAGAAATCAATTGCAACAAGAACATGCAAAGACATTTCAACACATAGAGGCTAAATAGCATGTTATTAAACAATGAATGGGTCACTGACGAGATCAAGGAAAAAATTAAAAACTTCCTGGAAACCAATGAAAATGAACACACAACAACACAAAATCTATGGGATGCAGCGAAAGCACTTCTGAGAGGGAAGTTCATAGCACTACAGGCCTACCTCAAAAAACAAGAAAAAATTCTAATTGACTGTCTAACCTCACAACTTAAAGAATTAGAAAGCAAACAAAAAGAAAACCCCAGAGCAAGTAGAAGGAAGGAAATAGTAAAGATCAGAGCAGAAATAAATGACATAGAGACCAAAAAAAGAACTCAAAGGATCAATGAAACAAAGAGCTGGTTTTTCGAAAAGATAAACAAGATTGATGGACCCTTAGCTAGACTCACCAAGAAACAAAGAGAGAGAACCCAAATACACAAAATCAGAAATGAAAGAGGAGAAGTAACAACCAACACCACAGAAATACAAAAGATCGTTATGGCAACAAATTCGACAATCTACGCGAAATGGACAAATTTCTAGAAACACACAGTCTCCCAAAACTATTCCCGGAAGAGATAGAAAACTTGAACAGACCAATAACAACTAAGGAAATGGAAGAGGTAATCAAGACTCTCCCAGCAAACAAAAGCCCAGGCCCAGATGGCTTCACGGGGGAGTTTTACCGAACATTCAAAAAAGAACTAACACCCATTCTCCTCAAACTATTTCAAAAAATTCAAGAAGAAGGAAGACTTCCAAACACGTTCTATGAGGCCAGCATAATTCTAATTCCCAAACCAGAAAAAGACACAACAAAGAAAGAAAACTACAGGCCAATATCCCTGATGAACATAGACGCCAAAATCCTGAACAAAATATTAGCAAATCGGATCCAGAAATACATCAAAAAAATTATTCACCATGACCAAGTGGGATTCATTCCAGGATGCAAGGCTGGTACAATATTCGCAAATCAATAAACGTGATACACCACATCAACAAAATGAAGAATAAAAACCATATGATCATATCAATAGATGCTGAAAAAGCATTCGACAAAATCCAGCATCCATTTCTGATAAAAACGCTCAGCAATGTAGGAATAGAGGGATCATATCTCGACATAATAAAGGCCATATATGAAAGACCTATAGCCAACATCATACTCAATGGACAGAAACTAAAAACATTTCCATTAAGAACAGGAACAAGACAGGGATGTCCACTCTCGCCACTCTTAT